CTCAAGGCAGATTTCAAGTCCCTTGTGTCTGCTGGCTAACAAGTTACCCTGCAGTACTTTTCTGGACCGAGGGCCAAATGTTGATGGGTAGATATAAATGTAGAATATTAATTTTTCTGATTAAAAAATTAGCATATGCTGGCTGGGTAGGGTGGTTCATGCCTGTAATCCTAGCACTTTGGGAGGCCAAGGCAGGAGGATCACCTGAGGTCAGGAGTTCAAGACCAGCCTGAGCAAGAGCGAGACCCCGTCTCTACAAAAAATAGAAAATAGCCGAGTGTGGTGGTGCGTGCCTGTTTTCCCAGCTACTTGGGAGGCTGAGGCAGGAGGATCATTTGAGCCCAGGAGTTTGAGGTTGCAGTGAGCTATGATGACGCCACTGCATTCTAGCCTGGGAGACAGAGGGAGACCTTGTCTCAAAAAATAAATAAATAGATAAATAAGCATATGCTTATTAGAGAAATTTTTGAACAAAGATTTAAAATGGACGTTCTTGTCTTACTCCAAACCTCTGCTAAGGGGTGAGGAGCCCAGGTTGTCAGGAAGACAGTGACTGGTAGCTGGGGGACTGGGAGGGGGAGGAGGGGGAATCTAGCAGTTGCTGGGTAGTTAGGCAGGGGGAGAAGAGATGATTCCAGCATGGGGCGGACTTCAGCTCAGGGGTAATCAGGGCTTGGGTCTGTGCTGACAGGGAAGGGAAGGAGGCAGTAGGGTGGGTAGCACCCACTCCCACCTGGCCCACTCACCAAAACACTGCGAGTAGAGCTCCCTGCGCACAGGGCAGATGCCTGTTTCCCGGGCCTGCCGCTGCTGCAGCTTCAGGTCCAACTGCTCCTGGAGGTGTACCACGTCCATCCTGGTACTGGGGGTGCTGGACACCTGCTGGATCCATAGCTGTGTGTCTTCCACCCACTCCCTGTGGCACAGACACAGCTAAGCTGAGCAAAACCATTGACTTGAGAGGGTCCACAGGACATGAGCAGAGTGGGCCCTTTGAGCTCTCTGCTTGAGCAGAAGTGAGGGACAGCTTTGCCCCCAACCCACCAGAATCCTCCATCCCTCCCTTGGAGTGTGAGGCTGCAAAGCCACACCCACTCTGCTGCCTCCACAGGGACCCTACTTTAGGACTGGGTAGGTGGGCAATTTCCAGTTTCTAAGGGTCCTCTGTGAAATCATCACCCACTGTTCCTTACCCTCCTAACATGCTTAAGACAGATTTATGGTCATTGTTGCTTGATCTGAGCAGAAAGCCCAGTGGGAATTCCCCACGGGCTTACGGGGTGCGAGACACCGGACAACATAAACCTTGTGCAAACCAGAAAGAGGCGAATGTGTGTCATGGGGTTGGGGAGGTTCTTGAAGGTGTGTGTCTTCATGGTCCCCATAATGAAACCTGCATCAGAGGTGGCCAGGGTTTGGAGTCACAAGAAGAGGGAGCTTGAGGACAGAACTGCCATGGGGGAAAGGACCTCTATGCTATTGGTGGGAGGGAATCAATTTAAAAATCACCCCCTCCCTTGACCTCCATCTCAGAGGAGATCACGGTCTCGCTCTCTTTTTCATCATGATCTTAAAAACTGCTGTCAGCGTATTACGTAGAGAAACACATGAAAAGGCATGTTAGTGATACATGTGGCTGCAGAAGGAAAAGGCGGGGAAAGCGGATCGAGCTGCGGACAGGTGCTCTTTTATGCAAGATTCTCAAGGAAGGCCTCCTGGAGGAAATGCCAGGTAAGCAAGACCTGAGCGAAGAAATGAAGGGAACTGGGGGGGAATATCAAGGACGAGCCTTCTTGGCAGTGAGGACAACTGTAAAGGCTCCAAGGTGCGAGAGTGATTGAGGCACTTCAGAAACAGCAAACCAGGCCCCTGTGGCTTCAGCACAGTGAACGAGGAGAAGAATAACAGGAGATAAAATCAGGGATGTATCACGGGTCAGACCATGCCACGTCTTCCAGGCCACTGCAAGGACTTTGAATTTGAGTCTGAGTGAGATGGGAAGCCATTAAAAGCTTTCTGGCAGAAGACTGCATAATTTGACTTACGATTTAGGGGCTTTGTGGAGAATAGATTGTAGGAGGAGAATGGAAGCAGGGTTTTCAGCTAAGAGGCCATGGCGGGAGTGCGGTGGCCAACAGTGACTAGGAACAAGATGGTGGAGGTGAAGGTGGTGAGGGGTGGTTGGATTTCGGATAGAATTTGAAGGTGAAGCCAAAAGAATTTTTGATGAAGAACAGACACATCGTGTGAGAGACCAAAGGGAATGAAAGGTGGACTGAGTCCCTGATAGAAAGGAGAAGGTTGGGGGAGGAAGAACCTGTGATTTTGTTTGGACATGTTGAGTTTGCCATGTCTGTCAGACATCTTTCTGAAGGGAATGAGGAATTAGAAGACTGAAGTTTAGGGGAGAGGACAGGGCTGGAAATACACACTAGGGAGCCATCAGCATACGGATGGTATGTAAAGCCCTGAGATTGGGTGAGAGCGCTCAGGAGATGAGAGCAGATTGAGAAGAGGTCTCCCGTCGCCCACCCTCCCAGGATCCAGCTGTAAGTAAGCTCTAGCTCTGGGATACTGGGAGGAAACCTCAGCCAGGAACAGAGGCATAGAGCCTCCCCCCACACTCCCAAATTCTGGAAAGCAAAAGCCTAAACCTTCTGCCAGCCACTGCTCCTCCTAACCTTTACCTTGGGGGTAGGATGGCATTCAAGATTTCTTCTGCCTGCTTTGTAGGATCTGGGACACAAATATTTGAGGGGAGCTTGCTCTTGGGTGGCTGTGGGACTGGACTTGAGGGTCCAGGCTGCTGGGGGCTGACTTTCAGTGGCCGAGCCTGAGAAGAAGGGACAGGTGAGGGCAGGAAATGATTCAGGCACTCAGCTCCACACATCCCGGCCCTGGGGACTGCTCCAGGTCACCTGCACACCCCTCCCCTATTCCCAGTCTAGTTTCCCTGTCTTCCCAGCAGAAATTATGTCTCAGAGCTGAAGGAGGCCATGAAGAGTCTCTGGCCCCAGCTCAATGCTTGAACAGGTCTTTCTGGCACAAATGCTCAGGCCTCTGCTTTCCCACCTCTAGTGATGGGGAAATCACTACCTGATCTATTATTCTTGGACCCAGCTACCATGAAGAGTGAGCCCCATCCATCTCCCTGAGACCTTTTTTCTCCTCCTAAATCTGCCGTTTGGTGTCACACTCAGTATCTTGGGCTTCTTGTACCGCTCTCCCACCCTCTTTCCCTGATTCAATTCCCTTATTCCCAGTAGCTGCAATCCCTGTCCCCTGGGATTCCCGACCCTCAGCGCAGGGGTCTGTCTTTCCCCATTGGAGCTTCCAGGCTTCCTCATCTCCTGAGCCCCTCGTCCTTACCTTGGGGATCCGTTTCTCCGTGTTCCGGCTCACCAGCACCGGGGTGTCATACTTGAGCAGAGAGTCCGCGGGGGGGATCATGGCGGCGGCGGGGATTGCAGCCCAGCTTCGGCGGCCCCTCTAGGCTGGGCCCTGTTTGCCGTCACCATGGAAACTTCCCCTCACCGCCTCATGGCCTGGGCGGGGCTTCGGAGTGGGGCGGAGCCAGTAGCGTACGAGTTTCGTTCTGCGTCAACTTCCGCGAGAGCTCTTGTGCTGGCTTCTCAGGCCTCTGGCTCACCAGGTGTCCCCGGCACTCTTGTAAACAGGGAGAATCGGGGTTCGAGTCCCTGGGCTGACTCCATTTCGCTATTTGAATGAAGTGGGCAGATAACCTTTGGTAAGCCTCACTTTTGTCCCCTGAAAAACAGGAATCATCTCCCGACTTCTCAGAGAAATGTTGGGGACGATTCCCAAAGGAAGGCATCTGGGGTTCCCAGGTTTTTAAGAGTTTTTTTTTTTTTTTAAATTAAGTGGATAAATGACAACATAGCAGAAAGTTCAGGAAATGGGGGGGATGCTAATGATTTGCCCATGGTTTTACCATCTCCGGTTGCATTTCCGTCTCTTCCCTTTGCATTTTCAAACGTAAATGTAATCACAGTTTTGCGCGCAAATTTGTATCCTGCTTTATCGTTAACAAATCGGGGCTTTCCATTTGCCATATAGAGTTTGTAAATAGCTTTACTAATGACCACATAAGATCCACTAATTGTATAAACAGTTCCCTACCGCTAGGCATTTAGGTTGTCTTCGTGTTTTCTAATTACTAATAACGTGGTGTAGGGGCCAAGGGAAGCCCCTTTCACCTTCTGAAGGTTCGCTGAAGGATCATCTCAAAATAAGGATCATCTCAAAAACACTACCGAAGGCGCAAATGAATTTTTTTAAAAAGGCAGATTACTTGGAGAAAAGGCATACAAAGTTATTTAACGTGTAGACACGGGGAGAATGATTGCCCAGCATCCAAAGGGGTTCAGAAGCTTATATACCATCCTGGCAAAACAGGTTATGGGAGAAGGGAAAACAGGAATTTTGTTGAGGGGCAATAAAGGATTACTAGGGAGAATGAATGGATGGGGGGGAAGAGATTAATTTGTGATTAACTTGTAAATGAGTTCTCTTTGACAGTGAAAGGGTGTGTTCAGGTGTGGTTACTTTCTTGGTTTTACAGGCGGGGAAGAAAAAACAATTGTTCCTTTTGGTGGGGCTGGATCTTGGCAGATAAAGGAACTGCAGCTTTGAGAGAGACGGTGTGTGCACGGGAGAGGTCAGAGAGACCTTGACGTTTCTTCAGGTCAGCATATTAACGCGCCATATTTTGCTTTCTGAGCCCCAGCAGTGGCAATAAACAGCCCTGAGAGGGTTGCTTTTTCCTAGAAGTTTGCTTTGAAAACTCAAAACCCCCGCCACCCGAAGCTGGTCACTGCGGACCCGCCCACTAGAGGGTCGTCACGTGTTTAACCTCGCTGACGCAAGGATTTCTGGGAGAGCAAGCACCCTGGAAGCGGAAGGCCAGGGGACAAGTCGTCATTTCCTTCGGCTAGAGGAGCTCAACGGACCTCTTTTCTCTTGCTCTGATACATCGCAGAATGGAGGCGGTGAAGAGTGAGCGGGAGCGGGGGAGCCGACGAAGGCACCGGGACGAGGACGTGGTGGCGGCGGCGGCGGTGGTGGTGGTGAAGCAGGAGCGCCTCAGCCCGGAAGCCGCGCCTCCGGCCCACCGCCGTCCAGACTTCTCTGGCGGTAGCTCGTCCCCGCTGGCAGGCGAGCCGGGCCGCCCCGGCCACCGCGGAAACCGAGCCCGAGGAGTTAGCCGGTAAGTGAGGAAACGCCTCAGGATGGGCCTTCGGTAGGGCTCATTCAGAAAGGAAGGCAGGGTCAGCGTCAGAAACACGTTTCGAATACTGATCGCAGCTGCTTAGACTGAATACTGAGGCGGTGGGAGGGACCCAGCCGTGCTTGTGTTAAAGAGTGTTTACTCCGGTACCCGTCACTTGCGTTACAGCTGAGTGTTAAGAGCCTACTGCCCGTTCATTCTTGTGGCCCCAGCACTTTGCAGTGCGTGGACCAGCAGATAGCACTGATCGTCTGTTAAGAGATTTTCCCCATCTGCCCACAAATGGCGTGCGGGTGTTGTCTTTCCGGTTATCTGCCCTAAACGTTTCCACGTCGAGGTCTAGGCGACCTATGTGATAGAAACTCTGGGGAGAAATTTTTTGTTTTTCGCATTCATTCAGCATAGTTTTACAAAGCGCTGTTAGATGCTAAAGACCATTCTAGGTACTGGGGCTGTAAGAGTGAACAAGATAGGTGGTCTTTACCCTCGAGAAATTGGTCATACTCTAGCCCCAAGACAGACGATAACAAGCAAATAAATAAAACAGATTCAGTTAGTAACGAGTATTAGGGATAGGTTAAAACAGTAATACAATAGAGATCGAAGGGAAGTGGGAGAAGGCCTCTCTAAAGAGATGCCATTTGAGCTGAGACCTAAATGATAAGTCTCAACTTTAAGAGGCTGAATAATTCAACTTCTCAAAGATCCAGGCAGAGGAAACAGCATGTGCAAAGAATGTGAAGTAGAATTAAGTGTGATTGGAATGGGACAAAACCAGTGTAGCTGGAGTATAGCCATCAAGAAGGAATGATGGTAGGAATGAGATGGGATAGGGAGGAAGTAGAGCCACAGAATGGATGGATAACGATGGGGGGAGGTTGTTAGTGAGGGAAAAAGAGTGGTGACTTCTGGGCAGTGGTGGTGCTTGTTAGCAAGATGGCATGGGAGAGGAAAGGTTTTTGAGGGTTTGGGAATCAAGAGTTATGTTATCTAAGTAAGAAGGTGCAATAGGCAATTGTATATGTGGGTCTGTAGCTCAAGGGAGACGTCAGGGGATAGGAAAGTGAAGCTCTTGGCTCTTTTAGTGTGATCAGTAGAGACCTTCACAAATGTGGGTTTGTGTTAGGTGGTAAGCCTGATATTTGAAGCTAATTTATATGGGGGAAGGGAAACTGAGATAAAAATCCTATGTGTACCATGCTCTGAATAAGGTCCCCAGCCAAAAAGAAAAACAAGTCCTCAGGGAGAAGAAGCAAATCTCCTCGGAGTAAGAGAAGCCGAAGTCCTCACCACTCAACAGTCAAAGTGAAGCAGGTAAATGGGGTTGGGGTGTTTTGATGCTGGGTCCAAATTGAGAGCCATTTCCCATAATAGCTAAAGAGCGTGAGTGTGTGTTGACCTGTACCTGCAGTGGTTCCTAAAAACTGAGTGTGTCTTTGTTTTTTCTGCTTGTTTTCTTAAACTTTTTATTTTGAGATAATTGTTGATTCATATGCAGTTGTCACAGATAATACAAGAGGTTATCTCTACCCACTTCTTCTAATGGCATCATCTAGCAGAATTGTAGTACAATATCACAGTCAGAATAGTGATCTTGATACGGTCAAGATATAAAACATTTCCATCACCACAAGGATACCTCATGTCCTTTTATAGCTAAACCCACTTCTTTCTGACCTTATCCTTCCATAACTCCTGGCAACTTCTAATCTGTTCTTCATTTCTATAATTTTGTCATTTCAAGAATGTTACATAAATGTAATCATGCAGTATATAATCTTTGGGGTTGTCTTTTTTCACTCAGAATTCTTTGGAGATTCATTCAGGTTGTTGCGTCCATCAGTAGTTCATTCCTTTTTATTGCTAAGTGATAATCCACGGTATACCATGGATTTAGCCATTTGCCTGTTAAAGAACATCAGGGTTGTTTCCGGTTTGGGCTGTTACACTTAAAGCTGCTGTACAAATATTTGTGTACAGGTTTTTGTGTGAACATTAGAAGTGGAAGGTTAAGATGTCAGCAGGTTTGGTTTCTCCTAAAGAAACCCTCTCCTTGGCTTGCAGATGACTGCCTTCTCACTGTGTCCTTACATGATGTTTCCTCTGTGTACAGGTATCCCTGCTATCTTTTTCTCTTATTATAAGGGTACCAGCCGTAGTGGACCAGGGCCCCACCCTAATTCTAATTCAATTAACTCTTTAAAAACCTGATCTCCAGGCTGGGCGTGGTGGCTCACGCCTATAATCCTAGCACTCTGAAAGGCGGAGGCCGGAGGATCACTTGCGCTCAGGAGTTTGAGACCAACCTGAGCAAGAGTGAGACCCCGTCTCCACTAAAAATAGAAAAAATGAACTGGGTGTGGTGGTTGCCCCTGTAGTCCCAGCTACTTGGGAGGCTGAGGCTTGAGCCCAGGAGTTTGAGGTTGCTGTGAGCTAGGCTGACGCCACGGCACTCCAGCCCCTGCAACAGAGCAAGACTCTGTCTCAAAAACAAACAAAAAAAAATCTCATCTCCAAAACTAGTTAACATTCTGAGGTATTTGGGTTTGGTACTTGAAGATAATAGTTTTGGAGGGCACAATGTAGTCCGTAACAGTGGCTCTACCATTTGACATTCCCACCAGCAATATATGAGTGATCCAGTTTCTCTGTATCTTCACCAGCGTTTAGTGTTACCACTTTATTTTAGCCAGTCTGATACGTGTGTAGTGAGTGATATATTGTGACTTTAATTTGCATTTTCCTGGGGCTAATGATGTTAAATATATTTTCAGGTGCTTATTTGCCATCTGTATGTAACCTCTCAAGTGAAATGTCTCTTTATATTTATTTTCCAATTAGATTATTTGCTGGTTTACTATACAGTTTTTAAGAGCTCTTTCTTTATGTATTATAGATACAGTCCTTTTGGATATGTTGTTTTACAAGTTTTTTCTCCTAGTCTGTAGCTTGTCTTTTCATTCTCTTAACAGGGTTAAGTTTACCATTTAAGCCCATGATCTGTTTTCAATTTGTTGTGATATAAGGTGTGAGACTTAGGTCAGGGTTCTTTTTTGGCCTGTGAATGTCCACTTGCATCAGCGTTTGTTGAAAAGCCATCTTTCTCGGCCGGGCACGGTGGCTCATGCCTGTAATCCTAGCACTCTGGGAGGCCAAGGCAGATGGATCATTTGAGCTCAGGAGTTCGAGACCAGCCTGACCAAGAGCGAGACCTCGTCTCTACTAAAAAATAGAAAGAAAATATAGCTGGACAACTAAAAATATATAGAAAAAATTAGCTGGGCATGGTGGCACATGCCTGTAGTCCCACCTACTCAGGAGGCTGAGGCAAGAAGGATCGCTTGAGCCCAGGAGTTTGAGGTTGCTGTGAGCTAGACTGACGCCACGGCACTCTAGCCTGGGCAACAGAGTGAGACTCTGTCTGCCCCCCCAAAAAAAGCCACCTTTCTCCTCTTCGGCATGTAAAATATAAACTGAGACACCGAATTGCTTTTGCTTTATTGTAAAAAATCAGGCGGGCATATGTGTGTGGGTCTGTTTCTGGGATCTCTGTTCTGTTCCCTTTATCAACAAGTCTGTCATTCTGCCAGTACCACACAGTCTTGATTACTATAGCCATATAAGTCTTGAAATTGTGTAGACTGATTTCTCCTGCTGTATTCTTTTTAAAAATTGCTTTAGACATTCTAATTCCTTGGTGTTCCATATAAATTTTAGAACAGTCTTGTCTATATAAATTTTTGCTGGGATTTTGATAGGAATTGTGTTAAAATGGTATTTGGGGGCAAGAATTGACTTTTTTATTTTAAGGCTTCAAATCCATGAACACCATATGTCTCTCTTTTTATTTAGATCTTGTTTGATTTCTTTTATCAGCATTTATAGTTTTCAGCATACAAGTCCTATACTTATTTTGTTGGGTTTATACTTAGGTATTTCCTCTTTTAAAATTTTTTTTTTTAATTTCAGCATATTATGGGGGTACAGATGTTTAGATTACGTATGTTGCCCTTAACCCCTTCCCCCCCAAGTCCGAGTTTCAAATATGTCCATCCTTCGGGTGGTGCGCATGCACTCTTTGTGTATGCAAATACCCGTCCCCTCCCCCTTTCCCCCTCTCTCTTTTAAAAATTTTTATTAGAGATGGTGTCTCATTATGTTGCCCAGGCCGATGTCTAACTCCTGGCCCCAAGGCATCCTCTCACCTCAGCCTCTCCAGTGTAAATGTAAATAGGATTACAGGCATGAGCCACTGCGTCCAGCCTATAAGTGGTATCTTAAATTTCGATGTCTACACGTTCATTACTAGTATGTAGAAATATAATTGATTGTTGCATGTTTATCTTCATCCTGTGTCCTTGCTGAACTCATTTATTCTAGGAGGCTTTTTAAATTGTAGATTACTTGGATTTTCTACATAGACAATCATATCTACAGATAGGGACAGTTTTATTTCTTCCTTACAATAAAATATGCATTTTATTTCCTTTTGTTATTACGCTGGCTAGAACTTCAAGCACTGTGTTGAGTAAGAGTAGTCAGAGCAGATAAAATCTTGAGGGATAAGTTCAGTCTTAAACTCTGTTACGGAGTGCAAGTTGAAACACTGGCATTAAGCAAATGGGGTTTTCTATGAATTTGAGAGACTGGCCAACTTTCTACTACCTTAATTGGAGAAAAGGCATACGGTTATATATAAAGAACTTGAGCATCCTTGGATATTTTTATCGTCTGGGGATCCTGGAGCCATTCCTAAGGGTACTGAGGGACGGCTGTATTCTGTTTTCTACCTCTGAATCACCATTTTCAAAACAAATATATTAGGCCTGGCGTGGGTGGCTCATGCCTGTAATTGTAGCATTTGGGGAGGCTGAGGTGGGAGGATGGCTTGAGGCCAGAAGTTCAAGACCAGCTGGGTAACATAATGAGACCCCACCTCTACTAAAAATTTTTTTAAAAATTAGCCGGGCTTGGTGGCGCATGCCTGTAGTCCCAGCTACTTTGGAGGCTGAGGCAGGAGGATTGCTTGAGCCCAGGAGTTTGATGTTGGTGGCTCAGCCTGTAATCCTTGCAAACTAGGAGGCAAAGACAGGAGGATCACTTCAGGTCAGGAGTTGGAGACCACTCTGAGCAAGACTGAGATCCTATCCCTACAAAAATAGAAAAATTAGCCAGGCGTGGTGGTGTGCACCTATAGTCCCAGCTGATCAGGAGGCTGGGGCAGAAGGAGCACCTAAGCCCAGGAGTTGGAGGTTGCAGTGAGCTATGATGATGCCACTGTACTCCAGCCCAGGTGACAGAGTGCGACCCTGTCTCAAAAAAAAAAAAAAAAAAAAAAAACCACAAAAAAACCCAGAAAACAAATAAATTGATTGCATGCTCATTAGAATAACATAAAAGTATATAAAATATAAACTGAGAGTATAGTGTTTGTGGTGTATGGTTACTCCTCTCATCCCCAAAATTGTTCCACCTCAACAAAAAACCTCCACTTCATTTGCCAGAGGTAATTGCTGTAATAGAATCTGTGCCTCTGTCATCCTGTGGCCTTCTGTGTCTCTTATTAAGAACACTAGTCAAATGATACACATCAGCAGTGACCTGTGGACAAAAAAAAATAAAGAATTTAAAAGAATTTATGATTTAAATAAATTAGAAAACTAGAAGTTTGAAAAAAAAGAAAAAGGAGCACCAGTCACATGGGATTAATGACCCACACTACAGTATGACCTATCTTAACTAATTACATCTACAATGACCCTATTTCCAAATAAAGTCACATTCTGAGATTCTAGGAAGGACATGAGTTTTAGGGGCACTGTTCACCTTGTACAGATGTGTCGTGTTTGAGATATCTATTAGACATCCAAATGGAAATATTGAGTGGACAGTGAAATTAGAGACATCTGGGCTGGAGATAAACATTTGGAAGTCATCTGTATGTAGATGTATATAAAATATTAGGATTAGATGAGATTACAAAGGAAACGAGTGTAGAGAGATGACCAGCCGACCAAGGACTGAATCCTGGGGTGACCCAGTGTAAAGAAATGGTGGCAGCATTACCAGCAAAGGGGGCTGGAAAGAAAGAAAAGCAAGAGAGTCTGGTAACTCTGAAGCCACAAGAAGGAAGTGTGTTGAGGGCAGAGTGATAGATGCTGCTGGCAGTTAAGTAAAACGAAGACTGAGGCCGGGCGTGGTGGCTCACGCCTGTAATCCTAGCACTCTGGGAGGCCGAGGCCGGTGGATAGCTCCAGGTCAGGAGTTCGAGACCAGCCTGAACAAGAGTGAGACCCCGTCTCTACTAAAAAATAGAGAGAAATGATCTGGACAACTAAAAATATATACATAAAAAAATTAGCCGGGCATGGTGGCGCATGCCTGTAGTCCCAGCTACTTGGGAGGCTGAGGCAGTAGGATCGCTTGAGCCCAGGAGTTTA